TGTCCCTCCCATCCAGCCTCTGATCTGCTTTGTGGGGGAGGTGTCAGTCATAGAACAGAACTGTTTTACGAGTTGTCCTTCCCTTCTGTGCCTTGTTCATACCCTAGCATGGTGGTTTCTGGCTTGAACCGACGACGAATGAGGAGGTTGAGGCATGGGAAGAAAGGCTTTGGGCTTTGACCAAGAGGGAGTACCTGCTCTGGCCTCAAATGGGAGCCGTGTGTTTGTGACAAGGGGAGATCGAGGCAGAAAGATCGAGACGAAAGCACAGAGTCCTGGACCGGTGGTTGCAGTTGGTTGTGGTGTAGCATCCAAATCGAAACATTGTCTTCTCTGCCGTAGTGGTGATGGGTCTGGATGAAGAAGAACAGGAACAAGTCGTAGAAAGGCGTGGCACGCGCCTCTAGCGCGAGGTTGTGCAAGAGGTGGCGGTTGAGGAGCTGAGGAGGGAGGGCTTGTTCTCTTCAACTGAATGCTCTGATTCGAGGTCAAGAAGCGGGAGCAGAGGTTGATCTTGCCCTTGGAATAGCTCACTGAGTTCCCTGCCGAGTGTTTGATCAAGAAACATGCCAGAGAAAGAACAAGGACCAACAGAGAAGATCAAAGTGACCATCGTTGTGACTTGTGCTTGCTCAATGGCCGCAGCGATGACCCTCATTAGCCGCGCGTGGATTGCTCCTCTCGCTCCCTCTGTGAGTCCCTGTGAGTTCTCTTCCCTCCCTCCTGCTCCCTCCCCCCGATTACCTCAGCCGCATGTCTGGGTCAACATTGCGCTCTCCAAGCTTTCATTCCTCTTGTTAATGCGGCTGGTGAGCGTCAATCGCGCCCGTAATCGGTATAGTCCGGGTAACCCTTTCACGTCAGAGTACAAAAACCTCTTCTCCGACTTGAAAACCCTTTCCTTTTCTTTCTTCTTTTCCCCTACCACCTCCATTCAATCCCGTCGCCGTGAACGTCAACATTCTGTTCTCTCTATCTTTCCTCCTTATAGGGGCTGACAAGCACACAATGTTAGAACGCGAGGCACAGAAGCAATTCATGCTTCTGTGCCTCTTTCCATAACCTCAGTGCTAACGTTGTGTGCTTGTCAGCCTCTTCACTTTATCAGCTATCGGCAGAGCAATTTATGCTCAATATCAAAAGGTAATGTCCGTAGAACTTGCTTCTGAGATGCAAATTTCAACTCACCATGCACAGATCATATAACTAGTGGGATACTCATTCCGGTGAGTCTTTGCGTCATCTCGTCCTTTGTTCCCTTGTCGTACCTTCGGGTCACGCATCATCCCGGACAACGTGAAAGAGGAGGAAAACCAGACTGTGACTTCTCGCATGCACAAACGTGACACAACGCCGGTGTCTGAGAGCTGGGCTGGTTGCTTGAGCGTATGGCATACGCCTGGCTGGATTCGCCTCCTCGACAATGACAAGGTCAACTTCACCCTTCATTCTGGATCGCAGTTCATTGGGACAAGATAACCTGAGCACCTCTTGGAGCGATGTTTTCCATTGCCGTTACGGCCGCCAGATCATCCAGGAGCTGGAGCCTCACCCATGTCCAGGCCATGGACTCTTGCACATCAGCCTTGGGTTCTGCATGCACCTCAAGCACGACGATATCCCTGGACAACCATGTTACCAGCCAACAGTGGCCGTGGTTGGCGGTGCCAGTGAAGTGACAAGTCGTCGTCACTGACGCTGGACTGCCTGAGCATGTGCAGTGCCTCTGGGGATACTTAAACCTCCTTGAACCTCTGGACCGTTCTGTACTCTCTTCGTCCTGGCATCGCCCTTTGACGTACTCTCTTTGGAGTTATTATCGTCCTTCTGCAACTTCGGCCCAGTACAAAGACACATCCCAGAGTATTGGTTAATCAAAAGCATTTCTTCCACTGAACAAAAGTCGTTGTTTGAGCGGCAGTCTGGCAGTCTGGCAGTCCGGCAGTTTGGGTGCTTTCCACGTCGTCGCGCTCGGCTTGGCGTCCAGAGTTATAAAAGAGTGCACACTGACTCCCCCTTCAGCAATTTTCTTCCCTTTTACAAGGTTGATCACTGATCCATCAGGGTACGTCCTCTCTTCCCCCATTGCCATGGGCCTGGCACTCCAGCCATCACCTTCACCGTCCCGTCACCATCATCTCACGGTCACCATCCACAGCACAGTGCCCCCTGAGCAGTCTTGTTCTGAGGCAGTAGCAGAGCTTATATCAGTCTTGGTGCACAGGTCGGTGAGGACTTCACGGCACATTGCTGCCCGAAATCTCTGCTTTTTGACGCTTCGGCTCGCTGTTTCTCTCCAGCTGTGCACTTTTCGACTCCCTTCATCTCAACCCTTACCAATTGATCTCACCTTCTTCCCATTCGACCTCTGCTCATCCAGTCTCTTCCGCAGACCAACATGGCCGGTTATTGCGGCCGTGACACGCCGCTTGCAGCCTCTGTCACTTCCCCCATCATCGAGCAAGCGCAGACCAGACTGAGCCAGTCTGAACGCAATTACTCAAGAACCCAACAAGATCTCCAGAATGCCATGCGCATTCGAGCCACAACACCAATGTCAGCGGTCGAGAGCAGTGCCAAAGACCAGGAGATCATGTCACTGCAACTGCAGCTGCATGTACAGGAGGCGGAAATGAAACGCTTGCAAGAAACCATCACAAGACAGCAGATCACCATCAAAACTCAAAGCGAGGCCATTGCCAACCCGAAACAACACTATGCCACACCGACACCCCACCGTTTCGGAGGCAACCAACAGTATGGCCCACACCCAAACCTTCCCCTTCCTCCTCCTCCTCCTCCACCGCCGATCTTCACCACCGGAAATACAATCACATACACACAGCCTCATCCTGCCATGCCTGCACTTCCCCAGCCACAGCAGTCAAGCAGTACTCCTTCTCCTTTTGACGACTCTGCCACTCGGCGATCCAATGCTCTCCCTATGAGTCAGTCACAAGGACCGCAAATGCATCATCCACAGCCGACTCCATTCCGGCAATCTGGCCATGTCAACGAGTTTGGTTCTCCTGAGCCAGCAAGATCATACAATACCAATTTCACCATGAAGACAACTCCCACCGGGCCTAGCGGTGGAACTCCAGCTTCGGCTTCGGCAGCCAGGATGCACACTCGTGGGATGCCTAGCACAGCTCTGCAGCAGCAACCACAAATGCCTGCTTTCCCCAGCCCCATCGCTCTGGTCTTTGGACCACACCTCGTGGTTTCAGATGCTGTCGCTCAAAAATTTGGAAATGTGATTCACATGGCGGAAGTTTATGCTTTCTCTCACGTCAACACACCCAGCACCCAGAAAGATAACGCCATGCCACAAGAGGTCAAGGACAGGCTGATGAGAGCTTCATCCACCACTTCGGCGTTCCAGTTCATGCAGACACCATACACACGCTACATGCTTGTCAACAAGATCATTGTCCAGTTCATCATCAGGACCATCCTCAAGCATGACTGCTTTACCGGGTTCGATCCAGAAGCTGACCGTGTCATCGAAAACTGCAAAAGTCAAATGTATCAGAGTGAGACCCCAATGCTTGCCCCCTTTGTCACTCGAACTTACTGACATGGGGCCCCAGCTACCCCGGCTCAGGTCAAATACCAGCTCCTCACCACCATGGCAGAGCAGGTCCAAAAACTTAAGATAAATCCCCACTTTCAAACTTTTGTCAACAATATTGCACGCAGTCGCGGCAACGAGATCTGGAAGGTGCTCAAGCCAATGATGCATACCAAGACATCGCGAGACTGGGACGACTTGCACGAATTAATGATCAACGCACATCAGCTCGCTCAGATGATGTTTTCTGGTTCGGAAGAATACAAGTTTGACTTTCCCGTGATGGGCCAGCTATTCAGCAATTCTTGGATGGAGCCTCGCGATCCGTTCAAGAACTTTCACAGTCCGGAACAACTGGAAGCCATGGGCGCAACGGTCAGGCTTGGGATCACACCACTCATAAGCGTCCGATCCAGCACCCCGTCGGGACATGTCAAGTCGTGCAGCATCGTGAAGGCATTTGTTTTGATAAAGGCAGATAAGTAGGGGGACGGTGGAGTAAAATGTGCTGGACTTCCTAGAAATTGACTTTTAGGCGGCCGGGGGGAAAACATGCCAAGACCAGTGCAAATGTATGGGGCTCCCATAGAAATTAGATGGTTGGCAGATGTAAAATTCCGATAAAGAAAGTTTTTCCCACCAAAAAAAAGGAAAAGACAAAAAACCCTTTACCACCAGTGTCCTCCTCCGTATCAAACCTTCACGTCAATGGCAGTTCCCTATGGCATCCTTTTCACGTGCTTTCAAAGCCTCCTATGGTGATGGCACATAGCGTCGTCCCCATACAGGTCCCTCTCGGCGCATTCGTTGGACAGTCAGCTCCTGTCAGACAATAAAAAGCAAGGCTGAAAATAGCAGCCGTCGTCATAAAGAGGCTGGAAATCCGGGGAATGGCCGCTGCGAGGGTGTCTTGCCACAAGCGCTGGTTGGTTCGCTCACCAAGCGTCTACCAAGCACAACACAAGCGTCGCCTCTCGCCTCGTAATCGGAACGCGGGGGAACAAACAACGTCGCCATATGGAAACATGGCCGCAACCACACTGGCTTCGATGACCGGCCTCTGGCCTAGAGGTGCCTGACAAAACATACATGTTGGCTCAGGAGGAACAACCTGGATTGGTGTGTGTGCGCGGCATTGTTGATTAGGCCCCGAGCCATTTCTCAGATCCAAGACAGGTCAAATTCCAGAGATACGTGGTCAAAAATAGAACGGTGGTTGACAAACTCCTTCTACCTGCGTGGCGACAAACACACTGGGCATTCTGAGAAGCAGCCGCATGTTGCCGGACAATGGAGGATGGCCAACCAGGCTATATATCTCGACACCTCCAGACTCGGTCTATCCCTGACTTCAACCGTCACCCATACGACGCCTTTTCCTACTCTACGTGAACCGCCCAAAAACTCATTCTCTTCCCCATCCAATATGATGCGCAGCTACGTCCTCATCTCACTCGGAGCTCTAGCATCGGCAGCGACGTTTGACGTCAACGTTGGCCAGAATGGCTTTACGTATTCTCCCGACACTGTCCACGCCGCCGTCGGCGACACCGTCAACTTCCACTTCTACCCGGGAGGGCACACTGTCACGCAGTCGCCTTTCGACACTCCATGCCAGCCTGTCTCGGGGAATGCTATCAACTCTGGCGTTATAAACTCGAACTCGGGACAGGCGAGCACCATGTTCTCCATGAGAGTGAACACCACCGACGCGATATGGCTGTATTGTGGTCAAGTCGGGCATTGCGCCACAGGAATGGCCATGGTGATTAACCCACCGTAAGAGAATACCACACTTTCATAACGGTGTCAAGCTGCTCCCGTTAACTCCTGAACAGGTCTAACGGTAACACTCTTGCCGCTTATCAAAAGGCCGCCAGCGGCCAATCGGGCCAAATCCCGTCCAGCGTCTTCGGGGGCGTCATCGTCGCCAACGTGGATAATGCTGGCGCCAGTGCCAGTTCCAGCTCTTCAGGTTCGGCGTCTTCCTCCAGCTCCAGCGCCTCCGGATCTTCCTCGTCTGCAACAAACTCCGCCACCACCACCGCGACCACCACCACTGTCGCAGCAATGACGACCAGCACAGGCGCCTCGGCTCAGTCCACCAGCAATGCCGCATCTTCAAATTTTGGCGTTATGAGGTTGGAATGGTCCCTTGTGGGCACCTTGTTGGCTCCGGCTGTCGCTTACCTGTTCTCATGAACCGAACCGGGCGCTCGCCACAAGCAGGAAGGGGAAGCGCAATTTTTGTCCAACCCGACCCAAACAAGCATAATGACGGACTTCTTTTCTCTTTTTGCTTCATCCGCTTTTAGTGCTCGCAGTACTGGCGGATGCTTGATAGCGAGATTGGACAGGAGAGCGCACCAATGCATGCAATATAGGCACAAAAGTTGACTGGAGACGTGGGATCAGAATGCAGCTGACTGACTGAAGTATTGTGGTTGGTCCTGGCTTTGTAGATTGTTTTCTGGTACGATTTGATTATCTAAGAGCCTTTGAACAACCCTCCTTGTTTGATTCCTGCTTTCTCTGCCATTCCTTCCCATTGTTTTTCTAACGAAAGAGCAAGTTAGTAAACGACCATTTTTTGTAGTGGAATCTCTTTTGTTTTTCTCTAGAGGCGTCAATCCGCCCCGCCGAGCCGCCGCCGAGCCGCATGCGCTTACAGACATACACCAGCCCAGGGTTCCTTTCCGCGGCGTATGCCCGGGCGGTAGGGCTGGCTGACACCGATACTGTGCACCGCATGCGAGATCCGAGCAGAAGACGCAGAAGACAGAGAAGACGCAGAAGATGCAGAAAGACGGAGGTTGTGTCTGTCTCGTGCATTAGCTCGCTCGGTACCTAATAGGTGCATGGGTAATGTAACATCTGGTATGTGTTAGATCATGTAGGGAACCAACCCCCTGGCGTAGCGACTGTCCCGGTCAATAGGACCGACTGTGCATACTTATACGGAGCTCATACTGTATCGGTGACGAATGGGTCCAAATAGCTAGTCAGTTAGCTCACTCACTAATTAACGTAGGTACATACACACACATCCGTACATGCATGCACACCTGGGCAAGGCTGCCCTACCCCCTTGCACCACCCATTTTGGTCGTTCGGTGCAGAGTTGGCCAGTTGGTGCTAGGGCAGGTACAATGACGGACTATATGTATCTGCCATTGAACCGCGTTCATCTTCTTTCACAGAAGGAAATGCATCTAGGTCGTTAAATCCTGTCATGTGCATACATACGTTTCTAGGTACATGCACTGGCGTGACTGGAGCAATTTGGATTTTTGGGAAAGATCCGCAAATGTGCGTGAATATGTGGCTGTCTCTGGGTGTCAAATCAATCTCAAGTCTCAACTCTCCGAATCTCGTCCTCGAAGAGCTAGTTCCGTCTCCTCGTTATCATCCTCATCGTCCTCGTCCTCGTCACCTTCATCATCACCGTCGTCACCCCTAGGTCCCTATTTTCCTCTTTTAGAGAGTGTACCGATAAAACGGGCTCTTGTCGCCCATGTCCAGCAACTCCTGCTCGGTGTACTTCGCCTTGATGGCCTCCTCGCCCTCTCGGGCCAGCAAGTCGTCTCTCCGCTTGTTCTCGCGCTGGTACGCGGTGCGGAGGATGAACGCGGCGACGATCCCCAACACGCAGATGCCCAGGCTGACACCGAAGCCCGTCGGGTATTTAGGCGCCTGTGCAGAGAAGTAGATGTTGCTGCCGCAGATACCGCCCATGTTGCCGACACTGATGAGCAGGGCCATACCTGTTAGGGAGGTGTCTGTTAGCTTTGCCACCGCGTAATCGAAAGTTTTTTGGGGGGGCCCGGGGGGGGGCAAGCCTTAGGGTTGGTTTGAATGCAGGGATCTTGCAAGAAACAAACAGGTCCAAGCGCAACTCACCGACCGCGCGCTTGGAGGATGGCGCGAGATTATTGGCGATCAAAGTCACGATACAGGTGAATGGACAATATAGTCCGACAGCCACAAGGAAGAGGAAGAAGTAGGCCACCCCCGAGTATTTCGGATGTGGGATGGCCAATTGGGCGATGAACCCGGCCACTCCAATGGCGAATCCGCCCATGATGAATGGAGTTCGCTGATGGACGTAGTCGGCCCAGAAGGCCACAATCACCGTCGCTATCATTCCAACGACGTAGATGGGGATGGTCATGAGCTGTGCATTCGCAGAACTGTAGCCCATTTCCTTGATCACCGAGGGCACAGTCGCCGTGAAGCCGTAGGTGCCGATACTGCACGCCCAGAACGGGATGACGGCGCACCAGATCCGCCAGTCCGCAAACCCGGCCTTGATGTACGACCAGCTCATCTTGTCAACGTTGGTAACCCTGCCTTGGCCGGAGCCCGTGTGTAGGGCGATCCGATTGACGATGAACTCGCGCTCTTCCTTGGTCAGGAACCGCGCCGTCTCGGGCTTGTCGGGCAGGAGGAAATACAGCGTGAAGGAGACGGCGATCGGTGCCAGTCCCTCGAGGATGAAGATCCACTTCCAGCCCGCGAGCCCCGCGATGCCGTCCATCTTCTCAATCGCGAAGGCGAGGAGGCCTGAGAATGCTCCCGACAGAGAGGCCGCCGCGTAGAAGACGGCCATGCGACGTTGGACCTCGTAGCGTCGATACCAGATTGTGAGCACTGAAGCAAAAGTCAGAGTTAGCGGATCGATTGAGCCTTGACTATCTGCGCGCTTTGAGCAGCCAACCCGTCAGAGGCTTGAGTTTAGCTTTGCATCTGCAGGCAAAGGATGACTCACGGTAAGTCGCAGCAGGAAAGAATCCAGCTTCCGTTAGCCCGAGGAAGAAGCGAGCCGTAACAAGGCCCTCATAGCTAGTAACGATTCCCATCAAGGTCATGACGAGACCCCATAGGAAGCACAGTATGGAGATCCAGATCGATGGACGAAGCATCTTGAGGACAATGTTGGAAGGAACCTGACTTTGTTTCAGTATAATTGCAACGTACATGGTACCTGGTTTGCGAATGGATTCCAGACCTCGAACAGAGCATATGGCACGAAGAACACCGTCAATGCGGTATTGTAGCGCATCCCGTAGAGCTCCAGGTCTTCATACATGCCAGCGATCTTGGCATTGCCGATGTTGCTTCGGTCAATGTATGCGAGACTAGCACTTTTGTTAGGGCCACTATATACTAGCATCGCAAACGTCATTGTACTCACAGATACAAGACCCCAAGGAGTGGAATAAGACGATAGTCGACCTTTCTCAAGATCCGTTGTACTTCCTTCTGGTCGTAGTGAGGTTCGACTTGGTCCGCAGCGTAGCCGGCATCGACGGTGCGTAGAACATCGCTGGCATCGGCATCGCCAGATGTTTGTATACCAATCTCTTTCTCGTCGCCGCCATATTCAATCCTTTGGGTTTTCAGCTTCTCAGTCATGTTGAAGTGACTCTTAGGTTTCTGATGCAACGATCACAAAGAAAACAAAATAAGTGCTGGGAGGAGGAGCAGGAAGAGTGAATATGAGGCCACTCCCCAGGAACTGGCGCGGTTATGAGCCTGACGTGCGACCAGGACATTGGCATGCAGCCTCGGGGACTTGGGTGTGCTGTCGACCGACTTGATGACTCCATCCCGGTTTCAGTAGCAGGGACCGACCAGCACCACCGGGGCTCAGACCACGAGGCCTTCTGGAATCGGGCCCGTTCTTCACCAGAAGGCCCAATGGTCCTATTGCTGGGGTTCGCAGATCCCAACTGCCGACCCTGTCTTGTACTTGGGATCGGTCTTGGATCGGTCCCTTGGCGAATGCAACGTGGGGATTGCAGTTGGTATAGCATCCACAGCTTGGCTAGCCAAGGCTGGCTTGACTCCCCAAGAGACTTGGTGGCGATCATTCCGTGAAGTGCGTGAAGGCTTACCTGTTTGAGGTGAGGAGGACCCTTGCACTTCTACTTGATACGCTCCGTTAAGAGTATCAAGGCGCCGAGGAAGCCTCGGGTTATTTCGTGGAGAGTAAGCGGTTCTGAGTGGCTTGCCTAGCTGCTTTATCTAGTATGCTTGGTCCCCTATTAAGAGTCAGCCTGGTGGGGCTAGTGTACTATGCTCTCGTGCTCCGGTGGAATAGTTGTGGGGTACTGAAGCCGGCGGACACAAGTACCCCAGATCGACTGCTCCGAAGCCCTCTGATACCTTTCTCCGGTCCAAACGGGAAGACATCATGCATTCTTTCACGGATTAGTTGATTCATCAAACGGCTCATTCATGGCTAATGCTGGTCTCTTTGTCGTTCTCTCCGCCGGGTCTGTCCTTGGCAGCTACCTTCTCTCCCACAACGCCCGCGCTTAGCTCTTTCCAGCGGCCCTTTCGCCGTCAACCGTCCTTCGCTGTTATTTGTACACTTCGTTCAGTTCGTACTTCCTCGCCGGTGCCAACATCTTGTACTTGGCCCTCTTATACTCCCTCCTGTATTCCTTAGCCGGCCGCCAGATCGCGGCCTCCATGTTCCACATGTCTATAAGTTGTCGTTTCGCCAGGCACCACTTTGGATTGTGCACGGTGAGGAGTTTCTTATCGATTGTTTTCTTCTTCGCTGCGACAATTCTTTCAGGTGAGCGAGGAGCAGGAGGTGGGCTGGATGGAGGAGGTCAGATTCGTTCGCCTCGTGAACTCTGGGATGATGCGGTGGTGGAGTTTGGAAGTCGCAGGGAGGGTCGATTCGAGGAGTTCCTTTCGCTTTTCGTTGAAGAAATCTGCCATCGAGCTGTACTTGGTATATACAAGACGACGGTCCCTCTGTTCTTGACCGTGTTGCTGCTGAGCGGATGTGTCTGACGCCATACTGACTGCCATCGAGAAGGACGTGAGTGGTTAAGTGTCTGGATGTGCTGGACGAGGCCGAGCGATGGCGTGCAAACGTCGGTTCGAGCGGCGGTGCAAGTGAAAAGCTGGCTGGATAAATCGACGATGAGTGAACAATAGCATCTCGATGATTCAAGTAACCACTTCGGCAGACAATTGGCTGGAATATTGGTTCTATCTTTTTTCTTCCCGACACTTAGTCGTCACCTGCACAGTGTTCATCGTTCAAGGGGACCACAGGGACAAATATGTGTCGAACACAATGTCGGTGCTGGCCGCGAATAAAGCAGATGGGCTTCATCGCTAAGGTCCTTAGACTAGCTCGGTCGGTGTCGCCAGGGGCTTCACACATGACAACGCAGCAAGTATTATAAAGCGAACGGTGAAGGCTCTGAAAAGACATTGGACTAGTGACTCGAAAATATGCGAGGTTCCTCTCTCGCCACTCACAAATCAATGAGCGTCTCGAGACCGTTAGGCATAGGGCCGTCGCAAGCTCAGAAAAATAGAACAAACGCTATTTCGAGGTATATCAGATGCTACCGTGAATACTTCGCCGCAATCGACCATAGGATGTGGAAAACAGGGCTTCCCGTTCGCTCAGCCGTACTTAAGCCACATGCCGGTCAGTTAGTACTAAGGTGGGTGACCACTTGGGAATCCTGACTGTTGATTGTTTTTTGCTTTTTATGTCTTAGAATATGTTTTTCTTTGTTCTCCTTTTCTCATAAGATTATACTCCTGCCTTAGTGGCCGGAATTGGATCTGTGGGCTCCTCGATGGATGTTTCCTCAGCTGTAGTGAGTACGTATTAGGGCGACGCCAGGCTGAAAATAAGGCCTGCAGAGGGATGGCATAACTTCTGTGAATATAAGTCTATGAGGCAATTTATCATCGAAGGGGATGATTGAGGCGTGTGGGATGGCAGTCCCGGAGAGTGGGATATTCTAGGTTTTAAAGGAACACGGAGGCAATTGTAAGTCATTGTTTTGGCGTTGTGTCGAAAGCACCAGCCATGGATTGCACATATGTTTTTCTGATTCAGGGTCGCTTTCATCAATGCCATACGGCAATTTGAGGCAACGAATGAGCTCATCTAGGATCATTCCGAGCCGGCCTATTGCGTCTTTTCCATGGACTCCCAATGCACGAAGAAAGGCCCTTCACATCTGCTCTCCGCCACCCCTCCCCCCCATCAAATCAACATTTGGAAGAGAAAAGAACACAGTGAGCATTTTCATCAACCTTTCAAGCCGCCATAATAGCTTTCTGTCTCCTGGCAGCTCGCTGTCTGGCTGTCAATCTTGTCCCCTTCGCAACGCCAAGTTCTTCGGCCTTGGTGACTGCCTCCTCAGCTTCCGTCAAGATCAGTTCAATGTGGCACGGGTTGGACATGTAAGGGTTGATACGGCCGTGGGCACGGTATGTGCGACGTCGCTGCTTCGGGGCTTGGTTGACTTGGATGTGTTTGACAATGAGTTTTGAAGTGTCGAGACCTTTGGTGTCGGCATTGGCTTCGGCATTCTTGAGAAGACCCAACAGGAATTCGGCCGACTTGACGGGCCAGCGCGCTTTTGAGACTCCGAATTGTTTGCCTGCGGAGAGGGAAAATGTTAGCAACTGCGATTGGGATTTTGTACCAGACCCGCAGAGGAAAACATGAGCATTTCGCCGAGTCTCATCCACCGTCGAGAATCGCCCACTTCAAGCTCTTTATATAGTGTGCTTGCAGGGCGTTGTTTCCAGGGATGATCCACCCTTTCCCTCAGAAATCAGATCATGTTCGTACCTTGCGCGCTCCGTCCAGTGCTGCCCGCATATCTTCTCATTGGCACAGCCTCCTTGAGTTGTTTGACATTTTCAAGGTATTGAAGGGCGCGCTCGAGTTTCCATCCATTGATAGCTTGAGCAGTCTCGCGAGTGTTCTTGAAACTGACCCGTAGGTAACTGCCACGGCTTCGAGCCGAGCGGGCGCTGGGAATGCGGTCGGCGGGGGCGTAGCGGACCTGTTGGGTCAAAGTAAGCTATCTATATGGACTCAATGGAGAAATTGTGCAAAAAGGTAAACTTTCATACCATCTTGACAGTTGCGGGAGCGATGAGATGGTCCTGGTCGTCGTTGTCAATTCGATCTCAAAATCGAGGGCGCACACTACCGGGAAATTTTGGTTGTGGGAAACGCCAAGACTGCGATTCTGATCTCGCCGCATCATCCCAAGTCAGGCAACTGTTCCGACTAATCACACGTGATATGTCTTGGCAGCGAGGCAGCCAACGAGAGGCATTTTGAGCGTTTTTCACTTTTCATTGTGTTCGGCCTGACACTATTTTGAGGGTTCCAGTCTCCAAGTCTTAGCCCCTCGAAAGATAATGTCCGACTGAATCTCATGGTGTTCACAGTCAATATTGGTCCTCGCTTGTCTGGTTAGCCGGCGGTCCAGTCGGTTCCCGAACTCTGGTCAGGTTTCCAGAACCATGGAGTTAAATCCACCTGTTTTCTCGATCTGACCACACGCCCGTCCTTGCTTCTGCTAATCTGTCTCAGCTCGAGGATCGTAATCGCCGCCCTCTGTCTCTTCTGTTCCTCCCCGAACCAGTGGATTGTCGTTGTACCAATCATCGTCCTCTGACATCTCCACTTGCTCAACCGCGCCGGCCATGATCTCCGCCTTTGTCCTCGGCTTCTTCTGATTTGGCAAAAGCCTTCCCTCTCCAATCGTCTCATTCTTTACTGAGCCTGCTACCGCATCATACTGCTCATTATCAAAGATCTCTCCGCGGTTGTCGTCATCGCCGACTTCATCTTCCTCTTCTGTGGACACAAGCGCCGCCCCGGCTAACTGGCTGTCTTTCCGCTTGCTCGGAGTTGACGGTGGTCCGGAGACAGCTCCAACAACGACATCATTATATCCAGGATCCCCAGGTTTGTACAATTTACCATTGATGACTTTTGAACCAGTTGGCCTTCCTCGTCTAGATCCACCGATATCGGCATCGGGGAAATTGGATGTGTATTTCGAGGCAATTGTGTCAAGTGAGAATTGCTGTCCGTTAAGGATTTTCAGATACGTCCTCCAAAGCTCCAATGTGTCCTTGTCCCGGACCTTGTCGTATTTTCCGACTTCGAGCCCATTGATTGTTTGTAGATCTAATGCCTCGGCGCGGGTATCCGCCCAGTACCAGAGTACTGAGCCCTCACTCGCTTCGTCTAGTCTCTCATCTGCTTGCGTAGCGTAGATGCGACCTTCTTCGATGCCCTTCAGGTCGTAGTCAAGCGTGGGTTTGATGTCACGTTTGCTGCCATTGATAGAATTTCGTTGCAACAAACCTGTCCATATCTGCACAGCTGCAGCTTCGTACAGTCTTCCGAGGATTTGATCGTGTGATATCTCATATCGATTACCAGGCCGGTGTAAGGGGTACCAGGGACCGTAGATTGCTGAACCAACGGGTCGGAAGAGTATCTTCACCTCTTCCTGAGGCACGGCATCAGGATCACCCAGTTGTGAGTCCCCATCCGTAGCTTGCAGTTTGTAATGACGGCTCTTATCGACCGTGTAACCTTTGCCAACGAGCGTTATATAAGACTTTGTCGACAGCAATGGCGAGTCTGGAGAGACATGCTCCGGCTTGATCTCCGACAGATGTAGTCTGATTGACTCCACAATCAGGACATCGGTACATCCTTTCCCTTTTTCTCGCGGGGCAATTCTGACGGCGTCGCCAACCGTGATTAGCTCAGCACCAATATAGAACCCCTTGCACCGGATGGTTGCGTCGGGCCAATCTCCCTTAAAATACCATTTCTCTAGAAGCGAGATACTGGTCATACAAGTTAGGGCGTTTTCAATTGATGGGTGCCATTTCGTCCTTGGAATCCCACGGAGTAACATCTGCCAGTGAGTCAAGGGTCGGATATTTCGCAAAGGGAGGTAGCGGTATTGTTTGGACATTGTTTTGTCCTCCTCGTTGTTAGGATCTGGAAATGTTTCCACGCGGAAGCCCCCAACGTTAAGATTGGTCTGCTTAGAGGGGAGATCTTGAATGTCAGGAAAATCGACAGGCCCGTCACTTGCTGGAGCAGAGGGCACAGCCGCAACAACCCCGCCTCTCCACACAGGTGAACCATGAAAGCATTTCTGCTCAAAGGAGTAGAATTTGTATTCCTGTGTCCTCTCCTCGAGCATGAGGTAGTGATCGTGGGGGAAGATTGGACAGAACAACACAAGTTCTCCGATTCGAGGCACAAAGGCGTGTTGGTGTTCAATCAAGGTCAAATTCCGCTGGATGAGGTTCACACCACCCCAATCGTGAACGTATTGAGTCGGATAGGAGTGCTCGGCTCTCCAGTCCATAGAGTTTGGTTCTCTGATGTCGTCTTCGATTCCTTGTTTCCCTCCCTTATTCGCCTCCAGTCTCTTTAACTGATCTTTGAACACATCCTCAGTGCCCTCTTCGTCTTGTGCATAGGGAGCTCCGGCAGCTTTAATTTGTCTCTGTGGCCGCGTTGAAATGGGGCCAGGGGCGCGACTGGCAACGGAGGTTGACCTCGATGAAGGAGCAGTTTCAAGAGGGCTAACTGGTGTTCCCCTCTCCCTCGCAACTAAGAGCTGGGTCCCCAGAGAATGCGCCATTCGACGTTTGATCGGTCCCACTTTGTAGCGACCACAGAGTATGCACTCACAAATGCCCTGCTTACCCGACATCAACCAAAGGAAATGCGGTTGAAATCGAAGAATAGAGTCGTAGTACTTGCCAGATGGGTGGCCAAAGAGTCGCTTGTAGACCCCTACCGTGTTCCCGAGCTGGTCGATTTCAAACAAGGCAAAGCCGTTGGGGAGCTTGTCGAGATAGTATTCTACATCTACGTCCAGAGTCAGTACAGATCTAGTAGTCGTTTTGTTCATGATTTGTGGCGAGCACACTAGATCCGAACCGCTGGAGATTATCTTCGATGATATAACTTACCTGGTCGTCGGATCCCTGTCTCCACTGACCATTCTTTTGCCAAAGTGACGAGGTATCGCTCTTCAGAACTAGGCCGGTAGGGTTTGGGAGGCCACTGTCGTTGGTCTCCATCGCTGTAAGGCTTGATAGGAAGGACCTCCCATCGCCCCTTTTTCCCGATTATCTCCCAGGAAGCGTCGCCGTTGGATGCGTCTTTGCGTGACATCGTGGCATGGAGAACCGAGAGCGGAAACACTGGACGGCGGACCAAGGACCATCATAGATGAAGAGTGGTGCTTAAAATGTAAAGGTGGTTTGGCGAAGCAGCGTGCCGGAAGTAAAATCAACTGTGGCGTTGTTTTTGGGACAGGTCTGTCTCACCCTTGATTCATTAGATTATTTAACATGTGAGGATTCAAGCTTTCAGAAGGGGTTGAATGGTCTGGAAAATGAGCTAAAGATGATAAGAGGTTGAAGGAAACGAGTCTATTCACTTATACAGATGTTGAATAAAGTTATTGTACATAAACGGCACGGCGGAACTATTTCCCGCCCTCTGCTCCTGGTATCAAACTCCTTTCCAGACTGACCTGGAACTTCCGTCTCCCTTTCGGCACAAATCGACCGAGTCCGTCGTTATCCATGTCATAATATATTTGCCATTGCCGCGTTGAGGGGTCTTCAACAGCTGTAAAAGCCTCGCTGTCATCAAAAGTTATACCCTCCTCATCTTCTGTCCAATCCCATGGCCCAACATGATGCTCTATGCTTGCTGATTTGTTACCATATTTTAACTCCATCGTGTCTTTGTCCACATATATCCAGTTCAACAACGGAGGATCATCCCGAACTTGGCTAACAAGGCCGATGGGAACAGGAACTCTCTGAAGAGACGCTGTCAGTCCGAAATCCGCCTGAAAAAGGGTCCGAAATCGCCTCGGGTCGCTTACTTCGTTGTCTGGGTATTCAATATAGAACGCTTCGGCGACATATCCTTCCTTGCACGGATTCAGAGCTTCATGCGGGCCTATCCACACGCGGTCATCTCTCAAAACAAGCCTTTTCTCGTGGATTTCACGTGTCCGAGAGCTCTGGGCTTCACAATAGACATCGATGTAGAATTTTTGCATGCGTTTTGCATCTTTCTCGCGCTCCTTGTGCTTCTTCTGCCCATGGATGGCTTGAGCGACACCCGTCACGGTAGGAATAGAGGTGAGGATGAGAAGGCCGATGACCATCTTGGAGCGAGTCGCGCGGCTTCAGATGGACAATGAGAGGCTTCTGCAAGTCTATAATGTCGACTGTCAGATATTCAATGGTGTCACTGTAAGACAAGAGTAGGGAGAGAGCTGACTGAATGTTGGCATTGCGTGTCGACGGCGGGGATGTGCAAATGCGTCAAACATGCCGCGCCAATTCCTTCCATCGTATTTCGACGAGCCAGCCCCAAGTTTCCGGAGATGATATGCGGCGCCTTGTCAGACATGATGTCCATAATCCAGTCCATTCCTTCTCGCCGAACTGACCGGTCTATGACTAGGCTGAACTACCTCTTCAAACCGCAGGACTGTTGCGAGGACACGGTCTCTGCGTCACTGAACAAAAACCTTGGTTCTTTCAGCGTCTAGATGCAGGATGACCGGGAAACGTATATGTCATTCCTTAGCAGACAAATCCCCGGTCTCCTCGGTCAAGATTGCGGCTCCCACTTTTGAGCAGCATCATAGCGGCTTCGGTGTCCAATTTTCCAGGCCCAGAATCTCCTGGCGCTTTTCTATCACTAACGATCATGTCTTCGACTGGGTTCAGACAGCCTATGAACTTGAGATTCGTCATGTCGACAGCGGCGAGGGCGAGCTATACCATGTCGACAGTGTACACTCGGTTCTCGTCCCATGGCCTGCCCGGTGCAGTTCCCTGAAATCGAGAGAGCAAAGAAAGGTCCGAGTTCGCTGTTATGGTACTTGTCGACAAGGTGAAGGAATAACCTCGTATGAGGCAAAGGACGTTTCGAATTGGTCAGAGTGGAGCATAGTTGAAGCAGCTTTACTCAGCAGCCATGACTGGTTAGCCAGCATGATTACACTGAAGGATCCAATCTTGCCCAATGATGATGGATCGGCTCGTCCATTGACCTTTCGAAAACGGTTCTTCTTACCCCCTGATAGGAAGATCAGGATGGCTCGACTATACGCCACCAGCCACGGAGTTTATCGTGCTAGTCTCAACAATAAGCCAGTCGGAGACGAATGTATGGCCCCTGGCTGGCAAAGCTACAAGAAGCGTCTGCACTATCAAGTGCATGATATTGGACGCCTGCTGGAACCTGGCGCAGAGAACACTCTTCTGGTCGATGTGGGACCTGGGTGGTTCGCATCTGCTTTGTCCTGGGTTTGCCGGAGGTTTGTCTATGGCATCGAGCTTGGTGTCCTCGCACAATTAGAAGTGCAGTTCGATGGAACTGACGAGCCAATCGTAGTCTGCACAGATTCGTCCTGGTCAGCCACAACCTCGGCCATTCTGAGGAGCGAGATCTACAACGGAGAGGTCTATGATCAGCAACGAGCAATAAAGATTAACGGGGAAAACGCGCAGTTGTCTCAAAACGTATGGTTTGAAACCAGAGTCTCAAGTACAGCTGTCGCACCCATGACCTCACCAAATGGACCGCCAGTGCGAGTTACGGAACGCCTTCAACCGAGATCAATCTCGAAATCTGCATCTGGGAAGACCATCATAGATTTCGGACAAAATATTGCAGGTCGGGTGTGCGTTAAGCACCTCCTCAAACCAGCGGGGCACGAAGTTACTTTCCGTCACGCGGAAGTAATGGAAGATGGCGAGCTGGAGACACGACCGTTGCGAACAGCAGAGGCGAAAGATACTGTGGTATGCGCCGGAACAATTCTGTCGGACTGGCACCCCAGCTTCACTTTCCATGGTTTTCGCTACGTCGAAGTGACGGGATGGTCTGACGAGGACTCGGAGATGCCTCTAACCAAAGACAGCCTCGTTGCAGAAGTAATGCATTCCGACATGCGAAGGACAGGTTGGTTCTCCTGCTCTAACGATGAGGTAAATCAGCTTCATAAGAACACAGTGTGGAGTATGAGAGGCAACTTTCTCAGCATACCGACTGAATGTCCTTCCAGAGATGAGAGACTGGGATGGACAGGTGACTTGAACCTCTTTGCACCTACGGCTACCTTTCTATACGATACAGGCGGAATACTGGGGGACTGGCTGCAAGACTTATATGCCGATCAAATGGACGAACATAAGGATTGGGAGAAAGGCATGGTACCGCTCTACGTACCAAATTGCTTAATGGGAGCTGGTCCTGGAGATGACGGGTGGCACCACATGCCGAATGGCGTTTGGGGGGACGCCGCAGTCATGATACCGTTTCAGCTCTACATGACTACAAGAGACATCAACATCCTATCACGCCAATATGACAGCATGACACAGTATCTCGAAAAGGGTGTCCGACGCGGTCATGATGGTCTCTGGGATCCCTATCAATGGCAGTTCGGTGACTGGCTAGACCCCTCGGCACCGCCAAATAATTCGGGAAGAAGTCGGACAGATGGCACTTTTGTCGCAGATTGTTTCCTGATTGAGTCAACACGGCGAATGGCCGTAATCGCCAAAGAACTCCACAAGCCAGAGGACTTTGCTCACTTCAATGCCGTTTACCTCCAGTTACTGACGGCGTTTCGAATGAAATATGTGACGCCTGCGGGCCTTTTAACCCCTGATACACCCACGGCTCATGCGCTCGCCATTGTCTTCGACCTCTTGCCATTCTCTGAGACGTCTGGTGTTTCCTCAAGAGAGCATGTATCAGCTTTACGCATCTCCCGCGCCCTCCGTTTTGACGACTTCAGCATCTCGACTGGCTTCGTCGGCTCTGCCTTTTTACTCCCCAGCCTCACTAAGACCCATCAGGACACCCTTGCATACCAGATGCTTCTATCGCCATCGCTCCCGTCTTTCCTTTACCCGGTACGCATGGGTGCCACAACGATTTGGGAGCGTTGGAATAGTCGAAAGCCTGATGGACATGTCAATGAAGCCAGTATGACAAGTTTCAACCATCACGCGCTTGGCGCTGTCACAAGTTGGCTGCACGAGTGCGTTGGAGGGATCAAAGCTGCCGAACCGGGCTGGAAAACTGTGTTGATTGAGCCATGTGTCAATAGAATGGTCTCTCGCGCGGAAGTCATATACGAGTCTGTTTATGGACGCGTAGAATGTCGGTGGGCATTAGACAATGACACTTTAAGCATCGACATCGCGATACCCCCAAATTCTTACGCATGTATCATTTTGCCAGATGAGCGCGGTCGACGATCCCAGGGATTGAAACAGAATGATCACTGGGTGGGCTCAGGACGGTATCATTTCAAAAGCGAGTATAAGCGAGCAGATGAGCCTGTCGAAGCGATCCTTCCGCCTTGGGGCAGGTCGGGTTTCTGACGTCCGATGGCTTCTCAAAGGTCAGCATGAGTCCTGTTACCTCCCTCTCATCGACACTACCAACTCGTCAAATGCAACGGACACATTCAGGAAGAACTTAGCACGAGCTCGATGCTGAAGCCTCTTGGATTACTATCCCAACTAGTGCACTTGCACGTCCCAGTCAGCATAACTAGAAATTTCCAGGTACACCAAGTGGAAACAATAGAACCGCATCGATAGGTAGAGCAAGTTGTTGCGCATTTCCGGCAATATAACAAAGATCCCTAGCGGCTATTAGTCGGGATCGGAAAAATTAATAATCCGCGATCTTGGCATCAAATTCAAATTCGTAGGTCGTTGTTGGGGAAAGCTTTTCGATCAGTGTAACAACCTTTAGCAGCCACCACAAAAGACGTTGCTCGGCGTCCTGCAACACCTTATACTGCATACCGCAGAAACGATCGGCTGCCTCATCAGGTTCGGCCAATGCTATGGATGCTCTCAAACTGCTCTCCCGGTCGACCGGCCTAAAATCAAAAATTTCGAGAACGGCGCCACAAAATATCCCCAGTGCATCAGGACAAGCCCCTGTTCAGGGTGTTTCAGAGCCCAGTGTTAATCGGAAGCGGAAAAGAGACTCGGACGCGCCCGAAGGCGATGATAACCAATCAACCAATTCTAGCCAGCTATCCGAGTCAGAAATCCGTCGGCTTCATAAGAAGCACAAAATCAAGATTGTGGATTTAAACCGGTTTCGAGCCA